TTCTGGCTGACATCACCACAACATAAGGAACTTTACTAAAGGGTCCCAGCATTAGGAAGGCTGAGAACCACAGCTCTAAGGCCTGGCCTCTTCCTTCCTCAAGGATGCAGGCTCACATCTTTTTCTCTTGACCACTTAGTCAGATGGGTCTCCGGTTTGACAAATTACACTCATCTCAAACTGTGTAGCTTCCACCTATTTTTTTCTTCCCAATCTGACTATATTGTTGTTCTCCTCAGTTTCTGCAATGGAGGAGATAGATAATGATTCCTCCTCACTACATACAGTCCTCAGTCAAACAAGGCCTTGGGCACTACCCAGCGAGTCTGCCATTCCTCATCCTTGAAACAACTCAACAGGCAACTCTTAGGTATTGCTGATTGGCTACATTGTGTCCCCAGTATAAAAATCACTTACTGAGTCAAGCAAATTAATGAGGTTATGTTTTACAGTAGAAAATGTTGGATCCCTTGTTTGAGAAAACTGCTATATATTTTCTTACACACTTTCTAGAATTGTCTAGCTTTACCTGCTTTTTAGAATATTTCTCTTTATTGAAGAAGAAAATTGACATTTTAAATCACTTGTCTAAAATTTAGAGCTAAAAAAATCTATCACTCATTCTAACATACTTATTCAAGGATATTGTGACACCTGAAGAGATTTTAAAGATTAGATTGAATTTCATAAACCCCATTTACTTCTTGGGATATCTGGGAATAACTTACAGCTCATATAAAATATATTTGTTAGGTTTTGGGCTACTTTAAAAGCAGGTTGCCTTTATCTTAATTTTAAGTTGCCTGTGGTATGAATATTTATACCATAGATATCGACACTGCTAAACACCAGAGCTCTCCACACCCACAGTGATTTAGGATGTTCTACTCTGTTCTGTATTGTTAATATTTCAGAGTTTGAGAGCTGAATGATTAAAAACCACTAGCTATTGGTTCAAAGGAAGCTAGTTAATGTTATGCTGTTTGGATTAAAAGTTACAAATTGAGAATACGAAAGACAAAGAATTTTATAAGACAGATAAGAAGAATGAGAAAGTCAAGATCTTCATGTATATTTCCGATGCCTCTCAGGCTAGGTCACGCTACTGAATTCTTGAAAAATGTGAGCACATACACTCTGGGTCAGGATAGATAGCTAGAAAAGATCTAGCCATTGTAATATCTCTTTCCTCCAGACCCGGAGCTCTGTTATCAGCTCAGTTGATATCTTGTACAATGCTTGTCTTAGTGATAGTGTCTTCAAGGGAACAGAAACAGTCCAAGAAGGGTTACTTGCAGGTCCTTATTGATTGTAGGCTTCAGTGTTGTGGCTGAAAAAAGGTAATAAAGATCAATTTGAGGGTTCTTGTTCCTGTAGGAAAGGCCTAAACTGTCAATTAAAAGGAGGGATTTGAATTTGTGTGTTACTTCATGACAAGAACAACTTTGAATTCTGACTTAGGGTCAGTATTGCTTGGAAGAAATACTATGACCAAAGCAACTTGAGGAGGAAATGGTTTATTTGGCTTACACTTCCATATCACAGTTCTTCACCAAGGAAAGTCAGGACAGAAACTCAAGCAGGGCAGGAATCTGGATGCAGGAGCTGATGCAGAGACCATGGAGAAGTATTGCTTACTCACTTGCTCCCCATGATTTGCTCAGTCTGTTTTCTTTTAGAACTCATGGCCACCAGCCCAGAGGTGGCCTAAACCACAATGGGTCTGGCCTTCCCAAATCAATCACCAAGAAAATGCCATATGACTTTCCTATAACCAGATTTTGTGGAGGCATTTTCTCAGTTGAGGCTCCTTCTTCAGTGTCTCTAGCTTGTGTCAAGTTGACATAAAACTAGCCAGAACAAACTAGATCACACAGAGGCCTAAAGTTTCAATCTTGCAGTGATGTCAGAGATACCTTATTTGTGATATTTCATTGGCAAAGAGTGTCACTTGACCAAATCTTTATGGAGGGATAAATGATAGATCATAGATCTTCTGATTAGTATTTGACAGTGTCTGTTTGTCTGTCTGTCTGTATTTCTGCACTATTGGAGGATAAAGCTAGGGTTTCATGCATGCTATCACTCTAACTTTGGAATTCATCTAAAGCCTACTAAATGTGCTTGAAGCTCATGTTGGTGCATATCTGAAGCCTTGGGTGCTTTGCTTCAGAGACCTGAAATTAAGTGATCTCCATAGGAAACGGAATTTGAGAAGTGTGTGCCCCTGTGATGCTCTGTCATCTCGCGGTAAATGCTTGGGGAATTTGGATGATTGCTAGGAAAGGTTTTAGCATTTGCTTTACCATTTCAGTATTCACAATACAGGTCAGCAGCACTCTGTGAGGAAATGACTTTCTCACATCATCTTTAAACGGGGTGAGTTATTCTCTCTGAAGAGGGCTTTACTTCTAATCTTTCTATGCAATTAAAACTTAAGATCTTTATAGAATACTATTGGTATTTTCCAAACGATAGGGTCTCATCCAAAAATAGTTGGGATTTTGGGTTGATAAATCTAGTTTCTGTTATGCCAGAAACTATGAGTCCATTGGACAGCCTTGTTTCTTGGCCCAAATAAAATAGGAAAAAAAAACCTTAGTAAATAAAAATATGATAAGATTTGATAAAATGAATTTCTTTAAGATAAAACTCTGGTATTTGGGGAAATGCTTATAAATTAAAACCTATGGAAGTCAATATGCAGATGCCATTAGCTTTTGTGAGGTCAGGGTGAGGAAAAATAGCCACACAAGCTTCAGGAAGACAACTTTTACATCTTGATTTAAACTCAGGAAAGAAACAATGCAACTTTTGGCCTGAAAACAAAGTTTTTGGCACATGAGAATTTAAAAATAAGTCAGAACACCAGAGATCATGCAGCCACAGAACACTCTGCCCTCGGGAAAAAAAAGACTTTAAAAATAAAGACTTCCTGAGATTCTTAATAACATTCCAACTATCACCATTGCTTCCTGAAGTGAAATCTCCTGTCATTAGTGCTCCGAAGGTGTCAAGAATATAAAAGCCAACCTCCTGAAGAGTCATTTCCCAGTTGCCAATCATGGCAGATGATCATTAATTAAATGGAAAACAAATTAGTTTTGTTTTTCTCAACGTAGTTTACTATTCATGGTTTACTTTTGCAATTTGTACATAAAAATGCACATCCATTCTAAACTTCAGAGACAAGAACATTTTAAAAATGTAGAAAAATAGAAAAATATAATTCTGTCATAAAGATCGTGAAGTCAAATTTTTCTTCATTTACTGTTGAACTTGTTGCATCTCTGGACTGGATATGTTGATATATTCCTTGTGTTGCTGCTTCTGTCGTCAGTGCCACCACCAAATGTACCCCTCACTTTTACTGAAAGTAATTTCGTGTTGTCACTAGGCTTCACAGAGAGAACTGTTACATAATGGTTTGCTTTTTGTTTCTGTTTTTCTTAAAAATGACATCTTATAGGTGATTGAATAAAAATTTAGAAAAGCAAGGAAAGTTTTAGAGCAAGCAAAGATAGCTGGAAGCCTGGGTATATGTAATATATTATTATTTTTAAGAAATTTCCTTATACACATATTTACCTTAAAACAATCCTGTAAAGTACTTTTTCACTTAAAATATTACAGCTTTCATTATGCCTCTAATGCTATGCAGAAATGATATATATACATAATATATATTAAATGGAGATTGTAACATAATTACAATATCTCTCCCTGTTCTTCCCCCTAATCCTCCAATATACCCCTCTCTTCTCTCTTCCAAATTTATTTTAAATTACAGTATAGCCATCTGTTTTCACAGGTTTTTTTTGTAGGAATAAAGTTGTAAATATTTTTGATTTTATATATGTCTTTTTCTAATTTAAACCAAAATTGTTGTGAATTACAGCGTTTGAAGGTAAGGTCAGTTGGGCTGAGCCTAGATGAGAAGTCAGAGAGGAGTGGAGGTGAGGCAGGATGCCTCAGTCAGCCATCCCTACTCTAGGTTGTTTCTCTACCATTTAGTGAGTCAGTTCAAACATAGATCAGCTTGTGTTCATATTTTAAAAAATTCAATATGATATTCCAGATGTATTATCTGTATCACTAATGTCTAGGCTTTGATCAAATTCATTTCCCATCATGTTCTATGATTGTTTCCTTCTTGGCAAGATATTTCTTACCATTGCCTCCTCTTTGATTTTTATACCTGTAGTGAGTGCTGCAGAACTTATTATTCTTCAGTGAATAAAATTATCACATTTTTTAAAGTTCTGCAGAACTTTCCTGCTAACCATTGAATCCCTATTGCAAAATTTGCCTCTTTGCTACTGTCTGTATTTAATTCCAGTTCTAACTCCTGTGGTTTTTTGAATATCTTGTTAAATGTAGATCTGACTAGTTACTCTAAATGAAGATGCTCAAAGGAATAATGTTTTCGACAGAAGCAAGACACTTAGAGGAAAGTTTGTCACCTTTCTGCTAGTGGTTTTAACCAGCTAATTAAGAATCCACTCCCTAAAAATCTCCAGCTAGATGACTTCTTGAGCGTCCATATCACAACTGGCACTAATACTAGAAATATATTGTACAGAAGAAAGCAAATTAAAAACAAAGTCTAGTAGATGATGCCTACAAAAATTGTGATTTTTGTCTTATAATATCTAGAATAAAAATTATTTTTTATGATTTTGTAAATTTAATTATACTTATTCTTAGACCATATTATAAGTTTTCTGTTAATGTCAATCCATTGATTTTTTTTCCCTACAATCTTTGTGGATTAAAACATTGTAAAACAAATTCAAATTATATGCCTGGTTTTGGTGTGTTGGCCACTTAGCAAATGATAGTTGGCTTAATGGAAGATTTCTCTGTTCTTTCTGCTGTCATGATGCTTTGTTGTCAGGTCTTTCAAGAAGACTCATTTGTTGTGTGTCAGCATACTGCATACTTGAGAACTATGAAAAGCTGCTCAGATGTGTCAGTAATTCCTCCCTCTCATGCTCTAGGTCGAAGGATCTCATAAAGGAGGCCATCCTTGACAATGACTTCATGAAAAACTTGGAGCTGTCACAGATCCAGGAGATTGTGGATTGTATGTACCCTGTGGAATATGGCAAGGACAGCTGCATCATCAAGGAAGGCGATGTGGGTTCACTCGTGTATGTCATGGAAGGTATGGTTAGTGACTTGTTCCTCTGCCACTCGTTCCCTTCCCATATTCTGAGCTTCCTAAGGTTCGCAATGTACTCTGAGGAACAATTCCTGTCTTCCTTCTTTTATTGGGAAGCAGTTTTAACAAATAGCTACATACTACTATTACCATGTTTGTGTAATTTATGAGGTTTTAGTATTTAGAATATTAAGGTAAAGGATTCCATATGTTTTCACACCTGGAGGATGCTGTGAAAAGAATACTGTTTGCTAACTCCATGAGACTTCATACAGTTACACTGCCAATCATGTGATCATTCTGATGGTGCGTCAATGGTAATTCAAGTCTTTTACATCAATTAGCATATTCAACTTTGCGCTTAACATGACCAGGTTTAGTACATGACCAAGTTTCCTGTTGTGATTCTTCCAGATAAAAGTATCGTTTTCAATCACTTGCACATGTATCACAGAGTCAATGAAAACCTCAAGGCATATTATCTGTCTAATTAGTAAGAGGGATAGTGTGTTTCACAAAACCCTTCAGAAACTGATATAGAAATGTTTTGATGGACAACTTAGCCATTTGTTATGTAAATATGGTTTATGCTTAGGTAGATTTTAAGACTGATTATTTCTAATTTGGAATTTATAAAACCATATTTTACCTTTGGAGAAAGATCCTGAGGTTATTTCTGAACTAACTGAGAAGAAGGCAAGTCCAGAAATGAATGTGCTATAAGCTGTTGAGTTTATTAGGCATGACAGGTGTTCAGTCTCGAGCATTCAGGTTGTGTGGCTCAGGACTTTCATGGTCTCCTTCAAGTTTATGGATCACCAAAAGAAAAGGTATACTGGACAAGTCCTACTTTCTCTAGGTTTCAACAACCCAATTTGTAAAATGGGAGATCCTAATGATAGCATCTGAAGATATGATTGGTTGCTATAACTGCAAAAGGTTGACAAGGCTTCAAGTGGTAAAGGTTAGGAATGCTTCTCATCAAGAAAAAACCCTAAAGTGGTTTTTGTGGCCTGAAGTATCATTATTACCAATATTGATAATGTCTACTTTGTTTCTGTCTTTTTGGATTATCAGGAGCTTAAATAGAAAAATTTATATCAGTGGTTCTCAACTTGTAGGTCACAACCCATCTGGGAGTTGAACAACCCATTCATAGGAGTTACCTAAGACCATTGAAAATAGCACATATTTACATTATAATTCATAACAGTAGCAAAATTACAGTTAAGAAGTAGCAATGAAAATAATTTTATGGTTGGGGGTCACCACAACATGAGGTACTGTATTAAAGGATTCCAGCATTAGTAGGGTTAAGAACCTCTGATTTCTATAAATATTTGATGTAAAGAATAACACATTATAAAATCATAATGTCTTATTTATTTCTATTAAGTGTTTGAAATATAGTTAAAATTACGTGTGCATTTGTTACTTGCCTTTAATTTTTCTTTGCAGTCTTTTTCATTGTAATGTCTTTTGTCTTTTCCTTTAATACTTTCATATTTTGCTTTTACATCATAAGCTTCTGCTAAGATAAGCTAAGATTTATTCTAATAAAAGCAAAACACAGTAGGCACAAATATAAATATTATGCACTTGGAAGAGAATTGTAAGAATAGGAATGAATTCACAGGGTAGGTATGCTGAGAGACAGTGAGCAGGCAGGGTAGGAAAATCTGGAAGACATGAATAGGAGACAGCTATAGATTATGAAACTAGAGGCATCCCCCTAGGAACAATTAAAATTAGGTATAGCATTATATATGCCAATGATCTCACAGAATTCGATTTGTCAGACAATGTACTAGTAGGGTAACTATGTAGAACACAGCTAATGTATAAAGCAAGATGAACTTTTGGTTTGGTTGTCTTCAAATTGCAATCATTGGTTTTCTACTGCAGCAATCAATATTCAAAACTTGTGTCTTAAGTTTTCCTCCATCTTGAATATTTATTAAAAATAGATTAACATAAAAACTTATAAATATATAAAACGACATTTATCATTTCTTACCTTTCAAAGTAAAAGGGTTGTTTACTTTTAGCTATATGACTAACTGATGTCTAGAACATCCACCATAGTGAGCATGGTTTTAAACACTTTGCATATATAGAATTTATCTAATTTTCAAAACAGTCATGGATAAAGGCTAAATGTATTATTTGGTTTTATAGAAGAGGATAGGAGAATTAATAAAAATATGCTATTTTCCAAGTCAATCATGTTAGAATTTATTCCCAGACAGTCTTGAGTCATAGCTTAAGGTCTTAATTATGGGAGTGTGTAAGGGTTGTATGGAGAAAAAAAACAAATTATATAAATAATTTACACATATATACATATATATAATTTAATATATGTATACATACATATATACATACACACACATATATATGTAATATATATATATATATATATATATATATATATATATATATATATATTTTCAGTGAGGAAGAAGTTTATCTTGAAATAGTGTCACTGTGGAGGCTGTCCAAAATGCTCAGGGCTGCAATTGCTGAAGGTTGTCTACTGTAGAATTCCCTCTTCTGAGGTGACAGACAAGCCTTTTGTCCATTGAAGTCATCAGCTGATGGAAGGGCTTTCGTTCACATTTTCTATGACAATAAGCTTCACTCAAAGTTTATTCTTAAATATTACTTCATTTATAGCATGCCTTCAAAGAAGAGTCTAGAGTAACAAGTATTTGTCTGGTATCCTAGGATACAATATATCAAGTCTACTTTATACTCACTTGGTATATCTAATACATAACCATATTTAATCTTTAAAGACAATGAGCAACAAGCTTATGTTCTAACAGAAGGAGCTACACTGTACACCTGAAAATACATGAACCCCTTTTCTCAGGAAGTTATCAAAATCCCTGTGTGATGTTCCCTTATATCATATAACTTAAATATTATGATGTAAAATTAACAATATTTAAATACTAACATGCAAAGTTAATTAATTCTTTATAAGTTAAAGAAATTAAAAAACAAATATTTCCATATATATTCATTACAAAATATGTAAAAATTTTTATCAGAGATTATATTGCTTTCTTTTGTAAAGATATACAACTTTCACTACTGTCTCAGTAGTGATTGCCTTGGTGTAATTTGAATAAATTGTATTTATCTTTTCATTGTCAGATCAACTAAGCAAAATACCACCATAATTTCCCATTATAGCCTATGCTTTCATTGTTCTTTTAAAATAAGACTTTAAATAGTACATTAATATTCATAGGCATGTTGTGTTTTGCTGTTGGTTTTCTTTAATAAACCCAATAAGTGACCATAATTCTATAAACTGATGGAAGCCTTTCCCCAAACAGAAATTAAAATCAGCTTCATATAACTTTTGCAGACCTTCTGCTTTTATCTTTATGTAAAAATAATTTAAAATAAAAAACTTTGTTTTTAAATTTTTACAAATTTTTAATTGGAAAAATGATTTATTGTGTAATTAGTTTATTTTTTTGAAAACCAACACATTCAGTCTTCTCAAAGCCTACACAGCAATATTCTTGATATAGAAATGTTCTTTCTATCTGTGAACATTTATATTTATAAAGAATATAGCATGGTACAATAAGTGAATAGTCTCTGAAAGATCTTCTACAAGCTTACTGTCAAGATATTCATGAAAACACTCAAGGAGTTGACAAAGAAAATCAGCCCAGCTTTCAAGTTTATAGTGAACTGATCTTTTCAGACACTTAAAATTACAACTTGATGAAAGTATCACTTCCAAATTTCATCAAGAATTGTTTAGGAATAGCTTACTAAGCTTATATAAAGGTTTACAGAAAAGAAAATCCGCCCCAGGATCAAATATATAAATTGTTTACCATATATTTTATAGCTTTTTTCACTAAGAAATGGACATTGGGCTCTTTTATGATATGCTGTTTCTTAATACTCATATTATGCTCTTCTTTTTATTAGAAAGGTAAACCTCCGTTTACCCTCATTTAAAATACATTTCTGATTTAGCAGTTGAATCCAAATTCTAGTATTCAGGAGCCTGGTATTCACGTACTGGGGATTGCTGATTTGTAAGATGCTGAAGTATTTGATTGGCTTAAAGATGATGGTCCTGTACAACTGCTTGGAAGAGGACTTCACGCTCCATCTCATCACAAGTCTGTTAGAGCATTCTGGGAACTGCCTCTAAGTTAACTCTTCAGTGGAATCATCACTGCTCTTTGATAAGATATTATCAATGACAAAAACTCATTTAAGTACTTTATTGCTACACACTGTTTGCTCATTTTGCTAAAGTCTCCATCTTTAATATGAATTATGTCATGAGATTATCTAATTATACATTAGTATAAAGAGGAGCGTATAGAATATGGAGAAGTTAGATCCTTTGACATGATTATTTCACAAATATATTGAAATATGAAACTGAGCCCTAGACTTCCCATATCCACATATTCAGTAATGATAACTTTCCAAAGACGGATTAGAAATACAACATGAACATATTTATCATGAACATCCCAACTTGTGAACTCACAAAAGATGGACACTATCGAACTACATGATGGAAATGATATTGCGAGAAGGAAAACGTCTGCCAAGGCTGAGCAGGAACAGTTCATGATGAAAGCAATCCAGGACTCAGCTCTTCAGAACTTCTGCCACTCAGACTCCCTGCCGTGCCCTGTACCCTCAGCTGAGTGCTACACTTGCTACAGACAATCTGGAATTAATTTGTTCCCTCTTTAGTTCATCTTTTCTCATTGAAAGCATCTGTGATTCCTCTTAACTCTTACTTCACCACTGTGTACTTTCTGTTGAGGATTAAACTCTTTGAACATTGGAAATGCCATTTCTTTCTGCTTAAAATCAATAACATTGATGTTATTTTCTTACCTTTAAATTAAAAATAAAAACTTCTCAAAAGCTGCCTCTTGGCTTATGAGAGAAAAGACTGTTGGAATGAACCTTGGCACACGATCTTTAAGTGGTATCTGATTGTC